CTGCAGACTGTTGTACCACAGGATTTGTGCTGCTGAATGAGAAAATAAAAATGACAATTCCCAGTTGTCTGGGATTGAATGTGGCTTCTGTCCTTGATCAGAGATGAAAAATCTAGGGGTTGGAGAAACAAGTAATGACTGATGAAGGAGATGGAATTTGAGCTATAGTTTGAAAAGTTCTTGTTGGGCAGGTGCAGAGAAAAGTGGCTCAGGAGGTGCTGTGTGACTCTGGAAAAACATCTACCTGGAGAATGTAATTCTAGAGGTGTTTGCTGAAAACAGAATTCCCATGCTCCTGCCCCTTCCAATCTGGGAGTTTAAAACAATACAAATACTATAATGTAAAAGAGGAGGGGTACGGAGTTCTCAGTATTAGATAAGGAAGCTAGTCTAATAACCACCATATAGAATCATCTCATATTAAGCAAGAGAAGGCAGGCCAAATGAATAACTGGAAAGTAGAAGAGGGACAACTATTAGGGTCTGCAGAAGGGGTCAAAGGGACAGGGAAGAAGAGAGAGGAAGAGTAGGGGAAGAGAAGTTAAACATGACCACAGCTCCATATATGCATTTGTGGAAATGCTAAAGTGAAACTCATTATTTTTTATAACTAATATGTAATAACAATAATGATAATAAAGAAATATCTTACAAATAGAAAACACAAAGAACCCTGGCTAAGAAGGAAATGCAACAAGATCACTAGACTAAGATTATGAAATACAACCTTTTCATTTTATAGATGAATCTGGTCCCTAAGCCCTTCAGTGCCTCATTAAGTTCACATAGTCTGTTGGGAGTTGAGAAGATCTGTGTCCTAGTTCTTTTTATTTTTTTCTCTTCTCATCAACCTCACTCCAAACTACTCTTCTTAGCCTTGAGAAGGACAGCCTTCCTAAATGTTGTTTGTCAAAGCTGCCCCTTCACCTAGAACCCCTCCCTCCACCCCAAGTGAAGATCTGACCATATTCCATGGTTAAGCTACAACATTCCCTGCTCCAGAAGGCTTTGCTGCTTCTGAGAACCTTCACAGTATCTCCCCTGTTCTGAACCCACAGAGCTGCCACCCGAATCTCTGATGGCTCAAGCCTTGGTCAAGTGTCTACTTCTCTAATCTTTGAGATTGTCAATCTCTCCAAGTAAGAACCTTGTTGTTCATGTTGATATCTCCTCTCAGCTCAGTACAGTATCTTCCTATAATACCTAATGAATTTGTTGAATGATTACCCCAAAAACATGAATATCTGTTAAGCCCAAAGTGCCTGAGCTACAAGTGAAAGGGGAAAGCATAAAATAAAGCTAAGGATAATTCCTCTGAAATGCATTGCAGAGTATTTCCCTGGACAAGGAACCCAAAACATAACATTGATAACCATTGTCATTGTTGCTGACTACAGTGTGCTAGGCACTCATCATAACTTGGAACATTACAAATGAATGTATATTCTGCCTAGAAAGAAGCTATCAGTTGAAACAAGATATCCTCCTTTCTAAAATCACTCTACAAAATGTTGGCAGGTCTGATAGATATGCTGAACTAAGCGGGCTTTGGTGGGAACTGAAACAATTTGTCAAATTCCAAGGGGTTGTGAGCACAAACTTGTATGGGACAGGAAGTTTAATGCTGCCTGGAATGTGAATCCAAGACTTTTGCCCAAAGCCAGACAAACCAGAAAGGAAATAGCCCAAGGACACTGAAATGGGCAACACAGATCCCTGTGAAATTGGCTCTGGTTAAAGGTTGAGAGTGGGAAAGATTGACATCCTTGATTTATAAGCAAGGAAATGCCAGTTTCCCATAGAAATAGGCCCTGGCCTCAAATTAAAATGGCAATTTATAAGGATGAAAAGGGAATTGAATCTCCAAACTATGGCTCTAGCCCTTGCCCTCTCTCCTGAAATTTCAAGTGTTGGTAGAAACATCTGCTGAATCAACACATGTAATGAGCTGGACAATTGTTTGTAATAGTAACATAACTGCTGGTGAACATGCATGGTCTCAGGGTCACTGGCTTTAAGGGGACTTTCCATTTAAACAGGGCCTGAGATCAGAAGAAGAATAAAGATGAACAAATGTGACCATTCCCTGGGAGTAAGGAGAAATTGGAATTGATCCATGTTGATGCAGAAAAGGTTTTACAGGTAAAGAAAGACAGGTTGAACACAGTGGGAGGGACAAAGGTGGCCTAGAACTGGAATAAGCCACTCTCTTCCCACTGCAGTCACCTAGTAAACATAATGTACCCTAGACTGACCACTAACTCCATATTATACAGTATCATGATGCTAGTTCATCAAAATCTCTACCTAATCTTCCTTTGGTTTTTACCATGTCATGAAGTGCCGGGATGGATTATTAATAAGCGTGCCTCTATTGAACCCTATGGGTAAAGTAATAGCAATAGATAATATTTATCAGCTGTTTATGCTTTAATGACCACTGTTCTAAACTTTCCACATTTTTCAATTTGTTTCATTCTCATAAACATGCCAAGAGGCATGAAACGCTATTATCTCCCATATCACAAATGAGAAAATTGAAACACAGAGAAGATAAATAACCTGGTTGAGACTACATAGTTGGTAAATGAAGGATCTGGGATCCTAATCCAGATAGGCTACTCCAGAGCCTGTGTTCTTAAATCATACAATAAGAGCCAGAAGGACTGCCAAGGGCTGCCATAGCCCTACAGAAAATGGATCCAGGGCAGTTTCTCTTGGATGCCCACAGAGACTGGTCCATATGTCCTTAGAGGTCTAATCCAATAAGGTACCCATCAAGTCAATCTTCATGCAAAGATCAGACTCGTCTTCTCTCCTCCTACTAATTCTGTGCTTTTGGTTATATCTCTAATAATTGTTGCTCCTGTCTGTGGGAGATCAAGCAGGGACATGGAGAAGAGTGGATGATCAACATGTAAGTGTAGGAAAGTCCTTATCACATTGAACTGCTGCAAGGTGGCAGCTCGTGAAAGTTGTCCTGGGTTCTGGACATCTCTCCTATGGGGCCTCACCCATGATGCAACTTCATTATGTGTATACTCCTCCCTAATCCAGCTATATTCATCAGTCTGCTTTACACAGACTTTTTCTCTTGGGATCTAAATTCCCTCGGGATCCACCAGGGAAGGATTTTCAATGATCTCCAGCAGTGCAACATCTGCAGCTCTTCATCCAAAGCAACTCACTAACTTCCTTCTCTTGCCCACTACGTTTTCCAAGCATCAGTCAGATGATCGTCCACTGTGCCTAGAAGCTGGCAAAGGCATACTGGACATACCTTTTTAAGACATACCTTCTTAAAGAGCCTCTGGACATGGGCTGACTGGACTCATGACTCTCAAACTTCTCATATGCAAAGACCTCTCCTATATTAGACTTCTTTCTAATGGCTTTGTGAGTGAGGGACATTTATTAGTCACAAACAGAATTTTCAAACTCCCCATAGTGAGCTGGCATCTCACTTTGAAATTTTACATCAATTGTATCTTGGTACTTTGGTTAAAAGTTCTAATTAAATGTGGAATATTTACTGAGCACATATTATGAACCAGATACTATCATACAAATTCTAGATATATTATCTAAAGTAAGTTTGAAGAGTTTTCTGAAGTGAGTAACTTGATGTCTTTATTTTAAAGCAAAGCGAGTGGGATCTAGATTCTAAGCCCACTTCAGTACAAAGTTGAGCTCATAACCCTCTCAAGCAAAGAACTTTGACAACTACATAACTTACCTATATTTCTGTTGACATCATTTTCCTCTGATATCCATTCTATCTTGCTTCCGTGCTTCTCAACTCTGTTAAAACAAATTTTTTGCAGTTAACAAGAGACAGCTTCTACCAAATCTTAGCTTCTAACACAGCAGAGCTCTCCTGTTTTCTCAAACTTCTTTCTTCTCTAGCAACCCATGACAACACACTCGTGCAACTTGCTGCCCACCGCACTGGCTGCACTTATTCAGTTTCCCCTTTGCTACTTCTCTAGGTGGCTTCTATAGGAAATGTCCTGGAGCTCAGTCCTTGATCTTCTCCCTTCCTTATCCAGTGTGAGGCCTTTAAACTTGTTGATAAGCACTTGTCCAAATATCCCTCACCAATCTTTCTAAGAAAAAAATATACATTTTCAGGTGGGAAACCTGAATTGGCATATCAAATAGATAGGGGAACTTTTGATAAACTACCCCTACCCAAAAGTCCTTTTCCTGCTTTTTCTTCTAGTTTTTCCCACTTGAAAAGAAATAAAGAAAAAAAGGAGGAGAGGAGAGGAGAGGAGAGGAGTGGGGAAGGGAGGGAAAGAGAGGGGAGGGGAGAGCTTACAGCAATTCAAGTCAAATACCATTGGACCATCAACATTAAATATACCATTTCTTCATTCTCTACCTCTTTTCTATCATCAAATCCCAATGGTTTTACTCTCAAAATATATTTCAAGTATATTCAATTCCAATCTAAGGGTCATCATGCTAGTCCAAGTCATCATCGTTTCTCCAGATTACTATGATGGATTCTAAGTAACCTCCCTGATCTCATGTTATTACATCTATTCATATGGAATCCAAAGCATCACTGCCTGGAAGACAGCCTATCAGTACTACCCCTTGCACTCAGAATAAAAATACATACTGGGTTCCATAGCCTACTTCTTCTTCTTTCTCATCTCAAATTTCTTCTTTTTGCTAGTTGTGCTTTAAGTTTGCTGCCTTCTCTTTACTTCTGAGCATCTTAAGAAATTTATATTTGTATTATCTGCATATAGTAATTAATTCTAGCTTTATACAGCAGTTATACTTTTTTAAAATATCACTTCAGATAGCACATTCTTCAAAAGGTCATTGCTGCCCATATTTGAATTGGCTTTATCCAGTTACACACTATCTCTTTCTGACCTTTGTGATGGTTAATATTGATTTTCATCTTGATTGGCTTGAGCGTACCTAGGAGATTAGTAAAGCACACATTTAGTATATCTGGGTGGGTCATGGGACCATGAGCATGGGCACTATATCTGGTCACTGATCTCTTCCTCTTTGGCTTTTGCCCTTGCATTTTGCTTCTTGGCTCCCATGAGGTGAAGCAACTTTCCTCCACCTGCTCTTTCTGACCTGGAGCAGGCTAACTGTGGACTGAAACCTCTGAAAACTTCCTTTGGACCTGATTTGTGAGAGGAGTTTGGAAAGGTATGGAATTACGGGATAAAGAAGCCCTAGAATGCTGTAGGAAGAGACTGATGGGCAATTCTGATGGGAGCTCAGAGATCAGAATACTTATAGGAATTGGAACATAAAGATAGCCCTCATATTTTTCTGGATGGGAGCAAGGATTCTATTGAGAATAGAACTAGAGGCCACACATGTTACACTCTGATAAAGAATCTGTCTGCATTTTATCCATGCCCTTAAACTTTGTGACAGGCTGTTTAAAAGTGACAGACTAATTAACACAGCAGAGGATATTTCAAGGCAATGCAACATTCAGGTTGTGGCATGGATATTGCTGTCTGCTTTTGGGTAGATTTATAATGAGAATCAGGAGTGAAAAGCAGAGTAGAAATATTTTTTAAACTTGTAGTTTCAAAATGACCACTAAAGCCAAGGCCAAAGAAGATGTGATTGCCGAAAAGATTAGTATCATTAAAAAGAAACCAAGTACTTTGGTACTTTGCACCAGGACAATAGGAAAGATGCTTTGAGGGTATCTCAGGAATCAACACAAAGATGCAAAAGTGTAAACTCTTTCTTTTAAAATGGGAGTCCAGGATACCCTGGTCATTCAAGGCTGGCTATGGAAGTGTTCCCCTAAATTTAGCCATCCATCCAGGCACTCAGAGGCTACTTCAACCATGGTCCAAGGATGTCTGGCTACTGTTCATGTTGGTGACAGATCCTGGCATTATCTACATGATGATGACTTTGCAGGGATGCAAAATGAAGTGTTGTGAGATCATAGAGCCTTCCACACAGACACTGAAGGAAAGCCTGGGAGGTCATGCAATGATTAGAATCCCTGCCTGGAGCCCCTGAATAAGCAATGCATGCAGCTGTGGGAGTGAGGTCAAAGCTGCCATGGAGACTCCAGGAAGCCTGAGTTTCCAAGAAAATGAACCCACTGCTGAAGAAGGTTTCAGGCAGTGAGCAGAGCCAGCCCAGGCCAGAGGCACTGTGAGCTGCAACCAACAAAGCCACAGGAACAGAGCTATCTATGTCCTTTCAAGCTCACATCATGCCACCTTATGACACAGATCTAAATAGGATTTAGTGTTTGCCCTACTGGGTTTTGGTCTTGCTTTGGCTCTATTCCTTTCTATTTCCACATTCTTCCCGTTTGGAATGGGTATGTTTACTTTGTGCCATTGTACCTTAGGAACATGTAATTTACTTTTTTAGTTATACAAGGATCCACAGTATTGTAGATAGGTAAGTTAATTAGATGTCTTATAGGCAGTTAGAGAGGGCCAGACCTCAAGGAGCCAACATGGAGAACAATTGAGGAACATTCACTGGTTAGCATTATAAAAAAGAAGAGATACTACTTCCCCTAGATATGAATAGCAGTGACTGATATTCTAAATGGGGAAATTCCTTGTACATGACACCTTTTCCCATTTGATCCCCATTTAATCAATATTACCTGGGTGACGGTACTTGTAATCTTATTGGTTGGTCATAATTTTGTCCCACCTCATGCCCATTTTGTAATTTTCCACTGGGAAGATAGAAGCTATCTTTTTCTCAATAAATTTTTCCTACTCTTAACCTCTGTTGTTCCTAGAATTCATTCTTCAGTTTTGAAGAACACAAACTCACGTTTTGGATATCTAGCAAGTTTGGGAGTTGCATCTATTCCCCCTATATCAACAGTTTGCCTTGAGTTTCAAAAGAGACTTTTGATTTGGAATTTTGATCAATGAAGAAACTGTTGAGACTTTGGGAAAATAATTAATGTGTTAGCAGTAACTGTGCAGAATAGTTACATTGTATTAAGAAGAGTGATGAACTTATTGTCTCTATTCACAGATTGAGTATGGTTTAAGGAGATGTATTTGGATATCAAGTTAAGAAGAGGTGGACTGCTGATGGTTAATCTTGATGGTCAACTTGTTTTGCTTAAGTGATCCCTAAGAGATTAGTAAAACATAGTTCTGGTAAATTTTAATGAGTCATTGAGGGGTGCCCTTTGGGATTGTACTTGGTCACTGGCCCTTTCTTCTCTGGCTCTCTCCTTTTCACATGGTTCCCAGCTACCATGAGGTGAAGCAGCATTCCTCTGCCATCCCCTCCCACCATAATGTTTCTGCTTTGGAGCCAAATGACTAGGGACCAAAAGGTCTGAAATCATAAGCCAAAATGAAATTTTTTGGCTTTAAGGTGTTCATGTCAGGGATTTTATTCCATCAATGAAATGGTAACTAATACAACCTTTATAATAATTATAATAATATGTTATATGTGTCTCACATAAGATACGTATTTATTTTGTTTGTGTCTGTTTGTTAAATTATTGCCCCTCCCCCATCAGCAAATAAGCTTTAGGGAAATACAAATCTTGTCTTTCTTTTTCATTATAATATTTCCATAATTTCTCCTATATTAAATATTCAGTAAATATGGTTGATTGAGAGATTGAATGGATAAATGGATAGATTAATCACGAGACATAAATAGATGGTAGACGCTATAATGCAGGCAAGATATAAAAATGCCGAATACGGTCTGACCAAAAAAATATACTATAAAATATTGAATGGAAAAGTTGACCCTGTTTTCAGCTGGCCCACAATTTTTCTACAAATGGCAGCTGTAATGACTATATTCCCTTCCTGGCTCAGCTTCAGGATGGAGGCACAGAGCAGGTGCTCTGGGTGTCTGATGAGTGAGAGGCAGCTCAGGAGAGTGTCAGCTGGAAGAAAGCTTCCTTTCTATCAGAACAAAAGTCTCCAGTCAGCGCCAGGGTCCTGAGTGATCACAGCACCAAGGCTGCACTTCAAAGATTTTAATCCAAGAAAAATGGTTTTAATACGTAACATGCTGTGGGGATATTTGTTTTGGAACAGATTGAGCTTAAGTCAAATACTTTGCATTTACAATCCAAGTGATCAATAAATAGCCAGAGAATTTTGTTCTTGCTCTACAATACACTCAGGAAAATGGATGGATTTTATTATTCTACTTATTATTTTTATTAGCAAAAGTAAAAAAAATGTGATTTCTTCCATCTCTCCCAAACTGCAAAATGAGACAGACAGTATGATAATATATTGCTGGAAAGAGACACAGTTGTAGAGAATTATAAATCATATTCTTTTGTTTGCTTGTCATTTTTGTGTTTATTTGTTTCTAATGCAAAGTGCAGGAGATTTACCATAATTTGCGTTCTACAACCTGCACTACATGTGACAGAAGGAAAAAAATCTATTAGCAAAAATGGGTTTTGCCTTTCTGGACTGAAAGTAAAATAGCACCAGGTTGAAATACTCATCTGTTTCTCCTGCCCCGGTTTATTCCTTTTAATGACAGTCCTCCACCTTTAAAAACAAACAGGCAAAAAATACAACACTTGCAGATTTTCTCAACATGGTATCAGTCAAAATACAAAGCTTTGTCTCCTCCTCTAGCCTGAGCAGATCATTATTAAATGTAGTGATGCACTTCTTTCTAAGAAGGGGAAAGATTATTTCTCTCAGATATCTTTGTAAAACAAACTAGGAAAAACAGTGAATTTGTATAGATTCTGAGAGTGGGAAAATATGACTTGGAAATATTTCTGCATTATTATGTGCACCCAAGGTACAATCACTGTGTCAGGAAAAAATTTTCAAGTGGTTTACGTATGCTCCGCATTCTGAAACTACATTTCATGGCCGTAGTCAAGCATGTGAAGGAATAATGCATGAGTGGCTAAGCAGAGTTTGTGATCATTTCCTCTGTTCCCACTCAAGGCAAGTCAAGAGGACATGTATTTAAATTTTAGTGTAAAACCTTTAATCTAGACAATTGGAAAGTCTTCTAAATTCAAAAGATTACAAGATGTGAGTCTGTCCCTAACGGAGTCCTGATAGTATAATCCAGGAGAATTATTTTTTTTTAGTTTTTTAATTATACATCCAATGAAATGTTCAAGGACAAATATAAAACAAACCAACTCTAATTTCTCTGTGTGTGATTTATATGTTTATATACATAAAAGTGATATGATACTCCCAATAAATAATGGTCAAAATGGGATATAGATATTTGAGATTGGTATGGTGAAATGAGTTTCAGTCATGTGTGATAGGATAGGATACAGAAATCTGACAGGATAAAAGCCACCAAGAGATAGGATGTCCTGGTTCTGAAGAATCCTATGTTAAGCATGACATTCAATGTGAGATCGAAGATTAGAAACATACAGAGGAAGAAAGGGGGATGAGCAGAAGAACTGAAATGAGCCAATTAGGAGATCTTTCACTGCAAAGAGCAGCTGAGGACAAACAGCAAAGCTCTAGAGCCACCTGAGGAGGGGTTGGAGCAATCTGCAGTGTGGTCCAGCAGAAGTGGCCTGAATTGGGTTATCTGTCTGAGAGTGGCACTCTCATGTTGGCTCTGCTTCCATGGTTTTCTCAAGGCATCACCAACACCCTGAACATTTTGAAGAACATGTTATTTGCTGGCTCTATTTTAGTGAACACACACACACACACACACACAGAGACTCATAAGCAATTAATTATAATAATTTTATCACTGCCTTGTGTTGATAATCATTTGCTGAATAACAAACTAACTGAATGCTTGCTAGCTTTTTAATTGTATTAATGGTATCTGTGGGTAAGGAATTTGGACAGAGCCCAGCAGGGATGGTTTGTCCTGTCTGAGGCTGGGATAGTCTAGAGGTACTGTTAGCCTCACATCTGGCAGGTGATGCCAGCTGCTTGCTGGGACCTCAGTGGAAATGTCAGTCGCACGCATGCACACAGATGCCATGTGGTCTCTTCACAGGAGTGGGTGTAGGCTCCTGGACAGCCTGGAGGTTGGTCCCAAGAGGAAGCCCTCTGAAGGAATGAGGGAAAGGTGTACAGCAGTCCTTTGATTTAGCCTCAAAATAATATAGTGTCACTTCTGACACACTCTATTGGTTGTGGCAGTCAGAAGTGTCTTCCCAGGTTCAAAGGGAGGGAAACAGACACCACCCCTAATGG